TAGTATGAGGATGTGTTTGGGAGCTATTATAAAGCACCCTGGTACTGTGCCTTGCTCAAGGGCACGTGGACAAGGCCCCTAATGCAAACTAGCACCTCTCAAAGTAACGATCCACAGTCGGGACTTAATAATATTTATAATAGAGTGTATTTATATGGCACTTTTGTCTGAATCAAAGTCGCTTTACAATATTATGTAAGGGAGGGTTGGGGCAGAGGGAGGACAAACAAAAACGTTTACCGGGCATGGATTGTTTCTGTCTCTAATAAATAAATTTTTTGTAAGACTGTGATTTACTATGTTCCCTAAATGTTCAGGGTGTCGTCTGGGGTTCAGGGGTTCGAGGAGGCGACTGAGATCACGTAGTGTGTGAAGCAGGGCGGAGTTTTTGAGTAGAGAAGGGAGANTCAGTGAGATACCTCAATGGAGGAAAAGCTTTTCTACTCTGTTTCAAATATGCAATCAAACTGTGGGACCTTTGCAGAGGACACTCACCTTCAAAGTGCTGGGTAGGTTTTCTGCAGGTATTTCTGAAATGTTGTTGGAACTCAGCACCAATTCCTCCAGCTTTGAGAACTTTAACAGCCCATCGTCAATGACTGATACCTGAACACAACACAGGCAAAACATCAAGTTGAGACCAAAATGAAGTTTTAGTTTGAAGTTGGGCGTAGTCCCAGTAAAGGGTGCGAAGGGGGAAATAGACACCCCCCTCCTCTGACTAATAACATCCCTAAGTTTAAGAGTCTCAAAACGTTACAACTGCGTACCTGAGATCAAAATGAAGGCTGAGCTCCAAGATGGAGTGGTATCACTTTTCACCCCTCTCCTGATTTGAAACCACAGCCTTATTTGATCCAATCGCAAGATGGATTCTATTTTGATATAGTGTTGCATTTGTTAAACATGGCCCCTATTGACTTTAAGTTATTAAGACCTTTTTCCCTTTTGGGGATTTTTTGTCATCGGGAAGGCATGCGAGGAAATCAAATGTCTTCTCCATGAATTAAAGGTAACAGGGTGAGTATTTGGTACAGCTACAAAGGGTGGTCAAAGGGTTGTCAGAATCAGCTCATATAAGCTGCTGATGAGTTTTTTATATAAAAAGGAGAGATTGTTCCACAGTGTTGGAGCTTGAATAGTAAAGGCATGATTCCACATTCACGTGGAGATGGAGGTACTATTAACAACATTAGACTATTTGATCTGAGTGAGGTGGAGATAAATCAGTACACTCACTCCATTGTCCACAATGCGAAGTGTAGTAAAGTAGTTGTAGATGAAATCTGCGTGCAGGCGTTCATGCTGGAGCACAGCCAGCTGTCTGAGGGCCGAGGCCTGGGGGCTCCAGGCTTCATCCAGCCGCCACGGAGAGTGAGGGCAGGTCAGCAGGTCGAGGAGGGCGTCTGTCTCCTCCGTCCCTGCTTCTTCTGTACTTTCTCTGCTCTTTCTCTGGAAACATATTCACTCTGTTTATCAATGTCCTGTATAAAGAAACTAGCTACTGTATGCAGTTTTGATATTGCAGGACAGGCTAAAAGCTTTAACAAATAGACAAAACAATGAAACTTCCCCATTTGATTTTCTGTTGAATTATGCAAATGATTCGTTTCTAGAACATACTGCCATTTTATCAGAATATAAGAACAAGCCAGTCTTTAAAGACCTTCAGAATATAGACAGGAATAAAACTGCATGATTTGTGTAGGAGCTTCTGAGACTTCTGGCTCAAAGTATGATAACTATTTTTGATAGCCTTCAAACATATGTTTTCCATACAGTTGGCATAACACTACAGGTAAATAGAATAAAAGGTTAACTAATAGATATCGCTTTGAAACTTACCCAGTTGATTAGAAATACATTTTTCTTTGTAATAAAAGTTTTCTGGAATGTAATGTTTAATGTTGAACATGCAAACAAAGCATTATCCTATGCTCAGTTTTAGTGAATAAGGAGAATTCAAAAGGTCAAAGTGAAGCACAATAAACACACTTAAAGAGGCCCTATTATGCATTTTTGGGTTGCGCCGCCGTGTGTAGAGGCCGTAATGCTGCGTTCACACCGGACGCGATACGATGTTTGGGGGGCGGCGCGATTACATGTAAAGTAAATGCAGAGATGCGGACAGATGCAAATTCACTCCGACGGCGAGCATGAAGCGGTTGATGCGAATTCTGCGGCGCGATTGAGGCGATTGAAGGGGGCCGCGACACATGCTCGAGTACAATTTTTTCAACTCGAGCGCCATATTCGTGTGACACGATCTCGCCGTAGCCAATCAGCGGTGAGGTTCCCAGCCTGCCGTCGCTGACGTTCAACCAGAAAACATCAGCCGTTAGCTGTTAGTAGTTAGCACACAGAGCTCACAGCTCCTCATATCTGTTCAGAAACTAGACAGAAGTTTAAGAAGAACAAACCACAGACTGTGTGTCATGGTGAATACAGTCGCTGGTTTATTTGTGTCTGTATGCCGTTGTTGTGAGTGTGGACGGAGCATATACAACGTTAGCTTAGCCTGATCGATCCAATCTCCATTCAGAAAACACGCATTTTAAAAGGTTTTTCGCCTGCCGTCTTGTCTGCAGACTTGTCAAAGCATTAATTCATGGTTTTTACTAGCCGGTATCAGTATGTTGTTACTTNCCGGGGGGCGGTGGGTGCGGGTACAGTTAGGTACGTGGCCAATTTGTAAAAACAACAGAGGAGACGGTGTACGGGAATAGTATTATTAACATTTCGGCTGGAAACTAAGTCTGTTGTACGGTTATTATTTTATTTATGTGAGATATATTTTCATAATAATTCAGGCTGAGCGGCACCTGAGCAATGAACTCTTCCACCACTCAAACCGTAAGTCCCCGGACAGGTGCACGGGGAAGCTCGGTTTGCCGTGTACATGGTCCGTCACCGAAATATTATCGAGGGTTTGGTGTAGGAGTATGATCGTGTTACCAATGTCACGGTCTCTTCTGTGTTAGTGACACACACCCGCCACAACACATGTACGGGCGATAACACTGCTAATTTCTCCTAAAAGAGATGAAGGGAAAGGTATAAACGACAGGTTACATTGTACCTGTAAAAAGTTCCCTACACAAATACTACCTGACAATTATGAAAGAAAACGTCAGACGAATTTTAGTATTAGTACTGGGACTAAACAAACATCCAGGTTTCATTTGCCTTTGTTTACCGACGCTCTTTACCTTCGACGTAGACCTCTGCCACTGGCACCCCTCACTTCCCCATCGACCTCTTTACCAGTCAGACCGCAGACCTCGAGTAGCAGAGGAAGAAGAGAGGTGTGGTCCGTGGAGGTAATTTTTGTACCGTAACCGTTCGGTCCGAATGAAAGTGGTACTGCAGAGGAGAAGAGATGAGTTTTGAGGCGGGACTGGAAGTGTGTGAGGTACTAAGTCACGGAGAGCTTGGGGACTTGGGGTCTGCTGTGGGACTTTAAACCCTTGTTTCAATTATGTCAGAATGTTTTTAAATAAATAATCTCTGTACTTGGTTTTACAGTGTGAGAAGTAATCTGATAATGTAATGGGGATGTTCAACCTTTTGAAGCTGCTGTATTCTTCTGTTTAGAGCCGCTGTCCGCTCCCCGCTTTGGTTCCTTCTCCTTCTTCTTGTCCTCTTTGAGTTTCTTTCCCAGATCCTAAAGATGAGAGAAAACATATCCCACATAAAATAAATCTCCACGTCGGTTCGATACTTTATAATCCTGAAGCTAGTTTTTCATATATCCTGTCTCGATATTTCCAGACTTCAATTTGACTCCTTGTAATTCCTCTGAAATAGACCAGATAGTTGAACCATTTCAGCAGCTACTCAGGATGTAAACTTGCCTTTTCAAGTGTTGGCGCAGCTTCCACCTCAGTCTCAGCGTGAAGAGCACCGAAGTCACAGAGGACGTCCACCTTCCCTCCTCTCTGCACCAGGCTCTGCAGCGGGACGTGCACAGAGCCAAGGGTTCTTTGGATGGAGGCGTCCTGCACCAGCTCTAGCACAGATTTCTTCTTTTTGTCTTTAGACTTATCTTTGGTGGAACCAGATTTAATTGGAGACTATGGAGGAAACACAGACAGGAAATTATGAAAATGATATGCAGTGGAATCTGCCAAAACAGACTTGTGTGAGCTCTGGTGGATTTTCCTTTGATCTATTGATATAAGTGGAACTTCAAATGCACAACCACCTCATTAATAAAACCATGATATGGAGATAGAAATGTTGTCTTCTGCGGATAAACAAAACCGAAATTACATGGGAACATTTTATCTTTTTTGAATTTAGGGTCAAATCAACCTGACCTGCTCTCTCTCTGCAATACCCTCACACTAGGGGTGTGTATATTGACTGGTAGTGACAAAAAATGTCAGTGGAATTGGCAGATGCCGTAGATTCTTGGGTCAGCTGCAGATGGCCCGGAGCAAACTTAGCTACTGATTTCTATAATAGAACTGGAACCTTCTTGTTATCGGTCAACATAAGACTATGGAAAATCATAATCTATAATATTGAAAACATCTGTAATGATATATTTTCTTTTGGATCAATAATATGTATACTACTAATGAAAGTTACTTCAAAACAAATGCTGAACTATAACTACAATGTGATCACAGTATAATGAGATTTAGAGCAACCGAGGTGGTTTTAATAACCAGTGGTAAAAATCTAAATCTCATACAATATTGCCCGGTCAGTGTGAGCACACAGTTTCTAACTACGTGCCCCATTATGGGTATAAATAATACAGCATTTCCCTCAAATCCATACTCATTATTTTGTATGTACGTGGTGTATATTATATAGCTTTAAGAGGTTTTCAAAGTTTTTGATTGAGTTGAATTCAAAGACAAACTCACTTCTTTCCCTTTACCGCCTTTCTTTTCTTTCACAGTCCGGCAGGGTTTGGGCCCCGGGACGTCTTCAGAGGCTGCAGGCCATGACAGAACCTAAAACGTCAGATGCCCGAAAATGAGTCCTAACACTTGTTGATGCATCTAAACATTTACCGACTGTTTACTCACGTGACCTTTTCCTCCACTATCGTCAGATAAAGGCCTTGATTGAAGAATCGTTTAAGGCCTCCCAGATCACTCATGACGTGTGTTTTTGTGTTACTGAAGTCAATGCAATCTGACCATGTCAGCTTTGTTGTGCTGTGTCTTGTCACTGTAGAAATTAGAGTCCAAGTGTCGCACACAGTGGGTATTGCATGCACAAAAACACGCACAAAACATTCTGTGATACATACAGCCGTTGAGTTAAGATAAGTGATACATGATAATAACCTATAACTAATCAGTCATCCAGTTTCACTGTGTACAACTCTATTCGACAGTATTTTTCTCTGAAGTTCACGGAAACTGATAAGAAAAGGTTCCTCTCACTTCCAAGTGATACACTACCAAATTAAATGAATAATGACATTATTTCCAAATTCCTTGCGTGGAAACATATGTGTCAGCTCTCACAGCGTTTATGATGTAATACAGTTTCATGCAAGAAGTCAAATGAGTTGATTTACCATGGGCAATATCATGGCAGGTTTCCTCAGTGAACACTGTCAAGGCTTGTGTGTCAGGTTTGGAAGATTCTTTTTCACAACTTTTGTTGGATTGTAGGCCGGAAGAACTGAAGCAGTCCTCTGTCATATGTGCTGCGTCAAATTTAGAATCACTGTCATTATTCTGTAAAACAGCAACACGAAAATAATGAAGTGCTTTTTAAAAGACATTTCTTGTCATGTTTACTTATGACATCTGTTATATTCCACAGTGTTTTATGTTTTACTTTAAATAACAATACAAAACAGGGCAAACATAAAACTGATGTTCATGCACACATATAGATTCTTAACAGTTTCTGCTGTTATGAAAGTGACTGTGTGCAATAACAATAAAGTTAAGTCTAATTTATTCGTATACCAAAAAGGGAAGTTCAGAAAATAAACTTTAAAAGCCAACAAAAGACTCTTGAAATAGGCCTTTGAAATGTAAAGAAAATGTGAAACTTTCCCTAGAGTTCAGAATACAAAAGTAACGAAAGATTACGTCACCAGGTTAACAGTTTGATGACTGAGGAAGTCGTATGTGATAAAATAGCTGTAAGCGATGACAGGGAAATCAGGAGTGTTTCCGTCCTCACTCATCAGCGGGTCTGGGATTCCTCTCATCCTGCCCACACTCACTGTGGCTGATGCCCGGTCCACTATCAGATCTGAACATATGGAGAAAATGACAGAAATTATGATAAAAAAAGCCCCCTACATTCAGAGGACTCAGATCTACTAATAACAGCCCACAGGCTCACCACTCTTCTTGGCCAAGCCTCTAAAGCAAAGTTTTTCCTCAGGGGAGACCCATGAGGCGTCCAGGCAGGAGAGCTGAGGGAGACTGTCCAGAGTGAAGCCTGGGTACGAGAGGGCCAGAGTGAAGGGGTTTCCCTCCAGCACCAGCGTCCTGAGGCAGGGGAGCGTGCTCACAGCACGCATCAGGGCCTGCTGGTCCTGAAATTCACAGTGACTCAGGTCCATACACACTAGCTGTGGCCTGAGATCACAAAAACAGTAATAAATTAAGAACTGGATGGACTCTTTTTTTTCTTTCTTAATTTGTAATAAAACTTGTAGCACAAATAGCATAACAACAAATGTAAAGCTGCTTTTGAAATGCTGTAATAAACCATTATGTGCAGCTGGAAAATAATTGTTTCCAAAGAGCGCTCTAGTGATTTACTATCACATTTCCAAAGGAGACACATTTTTTTATATATGTTTTTGAATAACATACTTTCAATGGTTAAAAAAAAGCAAGAGACCGGATACATCCTGTCTGTTGGCCCCCTGGAAGGGAGTTCCAAAAATGCTGGAACGTACATTTCCCATAATGCAACTAGAGTATTTGATTTGATCTCCCTGCCTCCTATATGCCAACTATTTTTAAAGGCCACCACTTTAGCTGATAATGCTGGGTATTTGTTTAATATTTAAAATATTCGCTAGAGACTCAATTTAAAATGAAATTGCAACTGTCTAAAAATCCCCCTGCCACACACAAAGATCCATTAACAAAAGAAATACTGAGATAATTAGTCCAAGCAGCCCCTCCATCCCCAACTTTCTGTAAAAGTTTCTATTCATTTGGCTATTTAATTTTAATCGAAACAAGTATCTAATTGCTGTTGTCTATATTCATTTTCTACTCCAACGTGCAGGAATAAATTCTTATTCCGCAAAATCTAAACAATGTCCCATGTCATCACATTTTTATCGTCAAACTAAGATAAATAAAATGAGATAACATAAGATACACTTTATTAATCCCAAATTGGAAAATATATAAGAAAAGATATGTAAACTATCTGACAAATAAAACACTAATATAAACTGTTACCATAGTAGTATGATGGAAAGTAGTACTTAAATGGTACTTGTGATAAAAAGAACTGGACTTCATGTCTTTGTAGATAACTACAACTATTCTTAATTGATGATAAATAAATATCGCTATGTTAAGGACGTTTTATGGAGATATGTCATTATAAAGCAATACAATTTATTCTGATGTATTTATTTTCTGAAGGAAATCAGAAAATGTTATGTATTTGCTTAAAACATAAGAAAATGGCTCAATTGTGTGTAAAATACTACAATTATAGGCTTTTGCTCTACATTGAATGCCAGACATAATGAAGTGCATACATGTATACTGTAATTGCCTTGGAATAAAAATGCTGAATGTAACAGGTTTTAATCGGAACGGACATTTTTGTGTTTCAGTCACAGGTTTCTGTATTTTGGCTAAACGGTTTCTTGTAGACTCATTATAGAAATGGAGTAATAACACAAGTTATGCAAGATACTGAGACAACATCTCATAGATGTCATACTTCTTCTTTTTTTAAATGTTCTACCTAATCGCTGTCATCACTGTGTCACCAACTGACCACTTTAAAGGTCCCATTTCATGGCCATTTCCACTGATCATAATTCCATTGTGGAGGTCTACTAGAATAGATTTATATTGTGCAATTTCCAAACTCACTTTGGTTTCTCATACAGCATCTCTGTAAACTACGTGTATTCACTGAATTTCACTCTCTGCCTTTAACGGCTCGTTGTAGCTCCAAGAGAAATCAGCAGAGCTGCATGCACTGAGTGTGTGTGAGGAAGTCCGTGGATTGGTCAATTTGGACCAATCAGCGGGGGCTTAACGTAACGGCTCCGCGGGCGTAACGTAACGGCTCCACGGATTGGTCCATTTGGTTCCGGGTAACGCATGACATCATGAGTTACCCGGAAGAATCAATGGACAGTGACGTATCTCCAACGAGGCGTTTTGGGGAGGTATTTTCTGTGTTAAGAGTTTTACTCGCTACAGGGTGTAGTTTGAGGGTTTTGACTCTGCAGACCGTTTACATGCAGAAAAGCCTTCATAACACACAAGGGGACGGGTAATAACCGGAAACGCATGACATGGGACCTTTAAGAGGAAAACTACCGGGGCTACCTCATTAGGTGTCAGCATTAAAAAAATGCAGGCACACTGTCATCAAATCAGATATCTGTGAAATCTAAAAAACCTTCATGACGCTCCATGACATGACATGACATTAAGTCATTATCATTATCTTCCCTTACTCACAATAATAAAAAGTACACTTTGATTGAGTTCAGGGTCAACCTGGTGAAGTAGCGGAGTTAGCGCGTCGTCAAGCGTTAGCAAAAAGCGAGCGCAGCTCACTAAATGTAGACAGCGTAGAGACGTAAATAATTGTACATTGCGCGGCGGGTTTGTAACTAGCCACACATTGCGTCCGTAATGCCGAGAGGTACCGCCGGCGTTGGGTACGTAATCCGAGAAACACACAAAAATACACGAAGTGAAACTGGAAAACTTAAGAGAATAAGTGATTTGACTGTATCTATTACGAAACAAAACGTACAAGTTGTAATTTTAATGTAAGGTCTTTATGAATAATGTTTCTTTTTACATAAAGATTAGTTTGACCCATTCAAAGTTTCGCTATAATAATCAATTCGGAAAATAGATAATGGACATCACAATACGGTTGACATACTTTGTATACAAACTTCCGATAGGTTTTATCAATAGTAATGAAACTCGGTCTTCAGAGTCTTCGAGGATGTGTTTAGTACGTCAAATTAAGGACAGATATAAAGACTTCCAGAAATTTCTGACCGAACAAGAATATAAGACTATTTTACCGTCATACAAGATCTTTGCTTAGTAAAGACGTATTAAGTTGTCTTTATAGTTTACCCTTCAAAGTAACAAAACAGATAACTAATTTCGAAAATCGGACAAGGACGGTTATTAGTTTTGACGTATATTGTCATCGATCAAAGAAATATGTCCTGAACTATTTGTCTACTTATACAAAGGTCTCTTTCTCGTTCTCTTTCATGTCTTCGTTCGTCCCCTGCTCCTCTGTCTGCGGGAGTGAGCTGACGACGCTGGACGGGAGTGAGAGGGCACCGCCGACCTACTTCGGACCTCGGGGGTCCGGAGGCCTGGAGTCTGTCGGACCGCACGAGTGTCGTACTTGCGGACGTGCTGTCTAAAGTAGATGTTGTATGTAATGATGTGAAGCGTACACCGTTACCTCACTCACATGACTAAATAGAGGTGGAGTGAGTCTAGTTGTATCAATACAACAATTATCATGTAGGTAAGAAGGTGCACTTACACCTTAGTACGGAAATGATAAGTTCGAGGTTTGTGACACCTTGTTAGAGAGGAAAATATATTTTTGAGTAGGGTCGTCGAATATACTTCGACTTAGACTGATTGGGAAACCCTGGGGAACCATCGACAGGTTTATGAGTGGACATGGAAATTAATAACCTCTTCTGTAAACTAAAAGGAGCGTACGGAAGGGCTACTGTTTTTAGGGGTTTTTCCCTTTTCCAGAATTATTGAATTTCAGTTATTCCCGTGTACAATGTTTACGTTGTGATATTAGTTCTTAGGTAGAACGCTAACCTAGTTTATTCCTGACACCAAAGTTTTAGTCCTCTCCCCACTTTTCACTAGGTGAGGTAGTAACCTTCAGAGTCTGAAGTAAAACTAGAGTCCATGCGTCAACATTGCAATAACTCTGAGATTTTTGAATCCCTACATAATCAGTCTCCTCCCCCACAGATTAAAGGGGGAAGCGGTGGAAATGACCCTGACTGCGGGTTGAAGTTTGATTTTGAAGTAAACCAGGAGTTGAACTACAAACGGACACAACACAGTCCACTAGTCAGGTAACTGCTACCCGACAATTTCAAGATTTCGACCTCCTTAACCACGACTCAAGGTTGTTGTAAAGTCTTATGGACGTCTTTTGGGATGGGTCGTGAAAACTTCCACTCACCAGGAGACGTTTCCCAGGGTGTCAAACTAACGTATAAACCTTTTTGTCTCATCTTTATCGAAAAGGAGGTAACTCCATAGGAGGTGCACTTTTACTGTGAATGTGTATCATATCGTAACGCAACACCATACACCTCTACCTAATTGAAAAGACTAACGAATTGGAAAAACGATGTTCTAAACCTCAATGGCCACGGTTGGACACGACCAGACGGTGATATTGTCAGAAGTGTGGCTGGCGGACGGAGGAGTGGACCTCATGGCAAGCCGGCAATCCGACGATATTGACCAGACCGAGACTACTACTAATAAGACAATAGAAATGTCACATTCTAGGTGACAAATCAGAGATAGTGTACATTGCGTTCGTTAGTACGTGGTGTACGTGCGGTGTGTGGACAGTGAGTCCTTCAAACGACCAATAATTCTCCCATTATGTGTTGAAGTCCAAACATGA